AGCCCTTTTATACCAGAAGTGTTCTTTTTCTCTGACAGAGAAATTAGAGTATGTCTCTTGATATCAGTTTATATCATCAACAATTGCTAAATATTTCCTCTTGAATTGCTTATGACATACCACAGCAAGCACTATTTTCTTTGCTAGTTAGAAAACTTTGATTATAAAATATATTTCCTTTATTAACACAGCCTGGACATTACTTTTAGGGAAATTTAAAGAAACATGGTATGGCAGCACAGGATGATTTACTTCATTTCTTTTCAAAGTTTTGAAATTTAAATTAAACTCTTAGAAATAAGTGTGGGCATGTTCATATTTTTAATTCATTAGGTCACACTGAAACCCCTCCAATGACTTCTTGCCATGTTTTAAATAAAATTCAGTCTAAATATCTTGACAGGGTCTTCTTTTACCTCTAAATACCTATAATCATTCTCCCCTTATTCCCAATTTGATACTCTCCACCACTCTGGCTTTCTTGAAGATCCTAGCTCTTCTTGACCTTGGGAACTCCCACAAGTAGTTATGTGTGCCTGAAATGTTTTTGTCTCTACTTCACAAGGCTAATTTCTATTCATTTTTCAAATTTCTTAACCATTTAAGTATCAATTGAATAGAGCCTGAGCTTTTCTAATTTAAACAGCTATGAACAGTTCATATTTCCCTCTATCATCTTTCATAATATCTAGCACAATTTATAGTTACACATAGTTTGTATATCATTATTTGCAAAATGTCCTGTCTCTCCTGGGCTATGTGCTCCATCTGGGCAATTATGTCTTTTTGTCTACTACTATGCGATGTCTGAAACAGAGTACACATCCCATAAATGTTTGTTGAATAACTGACTTTGCAAGATTTAGCAGAAAGATTTGAAAATAGGAGGTAAAGAAACTAAACAATGAAACAAAGTATCCAAAGAGGTCAATGGCATTGTTTAGAACATTAGATGGAAGATAATGTGTATATGTATTAGAAAAATAAAATGTTAAGTGCTAAATTCATGATAGCCTTAGAAAGTAAAAGGCTGACTTAGAATAACTGTCTTGGGAGACATAGAATTTATTTGAGGTGATCAAAGATGATTTTATAGAATTAATTGGGCTGGAGGGATTCATAGATTTTTTAAAAAAATATTTGTTTTAATTTATAAAAATAGAATGAATCAGCTGATTTGTATTTTAAGTTTATATTTAATGAGCAAAAGTTGGGATGGTGTTAGAAGTGGGCAAAGGTTTACTTGAGAGACCTGTAAAAGGGAAAGACCTGTAAAAGGGAAAGAAATGAAGCAGGACCAAGGAGAGGAGCCATCAATCAGATCACCGCCAGTGCAAGTCTGACAAAGCTCCTGCCATCCCACAATTGAGTGGGTTGTTTTACTGTATGTTGCTCAGTCTTTTGCTGGGGATAGGAACGGTGGAGAGGAAATGAATAGAATGTGACCTGAGCTTGAAAGCTGAAATGAACTTAAATTTAACAATGGTTGATTAGCTGTACATCTTGCAGTTGGACAATGAGTCCTTTCTTGAAGAGAGATCTGACCAGTGTGACTGCTACATACTATAGGATGTCAATTAAATCCAAATTAATCCATAAATAAAATGAAGCATTTTTTTTCAATACTGCAGGGCTGAGGATTGAATTTAGGGCTTTAACACTGAGCTACATCCCTGAGCCCCTTTGTTATTATTATTTATTTATTTTTGGTCTTTTTCGTTTTTTATCGGTACCAGGGATTGAACTCATGGACTGCCTGCTTGCAAGGCAGGTGCTTATGCCGCTGAGCTAAATCCCCAGCCCTCCCTTTGTTAGTTTTAATTTTAAGAAAAGTGTCTTAGTTACTTTTCTTGTTGCTGAGACAAAACACTGAACACCCAAGGATAAGGAAAGGTTTATTTTGGCTCACAGCTTACAAAAGTTTCAGTTCCTAGTTGGCTAAGGCAGGGTAGCATGGTATAGGAGCATTGCAGAGGTTATACAGTCCATGGCAAAGGTACCCAGGTAGAAGGCAGTAAGCAAGCCCACTAGTCCTCTTTCTGCTCCTTACATTTTATCCAGGGTACCTGCCCTTAAGGCAAGTAGCGCACACATCCTTAATTTTAGCATTACCATGAATCAATCCTAGCATCATATCCTTGATTCCAGCATCATATCTAGATGTAGCCACCTCTGAAAAGCTCCACCTATGCCTGCATGGGGCTTTAGGGGGACATCTAGACATAACATTAGGTGTCTTGGTAAGTTGCTAACTTAACCAGACTAGGCTTGAATTTATGGTATTCTTGCTCTAGCTTTCTAGGGTGGAAGGATTGTTTAACAAGTTGAAAATCTTGTCCTAAATATTTAGAACAGCACTAATTCCCATTTACCCAGGTTAGAAAGAAGGATTCAAAGAGTATTGTGATCAGGACAACTAAAAAAAAAAAAGTCATGAGACAGTGGTTTATGGGTATATCATTATCTTACCCATCTTCAGTATTTTCTCTGCTTCCTATCTAAAAAAAAAAGTGTGTACCCTTCAATAAACATTTTTTTAAGATACTGTTCTAAGTTCATGAAGTAAAAGTTTGGGTCTCAATCCTTGTGGTTATTTTATAGAACGTAACTATCATGAATAAGGAGAATTAACTATTTATTAGGGGTATTCAGGAGGCAGGGGACTAAGCAGATACTCAGGAGCCAGGTGTGCTGGTGCACTTCATAATTCTAGCATTCAGGAGGCTGAGACAGAAGGCTCACCATGAGTTCAAGGCCAATCTGGGCTACAAAATGAATTCAAGGGCAGCCTAAATTACACAGAAAGACACTGTATCAAAACATAATCAGATATTTTTTTCTTTTTTTTGGTACCAGGGATTGAACTCATGACTTCGTGCTCGCAAGGCAGGCTCTAATGCCGCTGAGCTAAATCCCCAGCTCCTAAAACTCAGATAATTGCAAAATAAAGCAATGCATACTATAATAAAAGCAAGAATAGACTTATGTGAGAAAAGCTCAGAAGACTCCCTGTTTTACAACAATCAGATTGGAGATGGATTTCTAAAGGTGAGCTAATTTGCGCTAAATACTGAATTCTGATGTATAAGTTGAATCCATCAAATGAAAAGGTGGGAAACATTTTGCAATAGCTCAGTTTGGTGAGAGAACACATTACTTTCATGGAACTCAAAGTTGTTCAAGATGCCTGAAGCAAAGACTGAAAGCTATTGAAAGCAGTTTCTAGGCAAATAGAAAGCTGTTTGATTTATAAAAGGCATCATATATTAAAGAATTTGATTATTTTGAAGACAATGTGGGAGCTGATGAAGATTTTAAGAGGTGAGATTAGAATTACTATTATTAAGGCAATTGTTGATGGCAATTGAAGATGAACTGGTATGAGGGTGGCCTAAAATGCACGGAGATTAAAAAACTGTTGCTGTTGTTCAAGGTGAATAAGAGAAGACTTTAAACATAACAGCAGCAGAAGGCTGGGCAAGATTTGAGGAGTCAGAGAAAGAAGTAAAAGCTCTCAAGGACGTAACATGCACAAATCAATTTACTTGGAGACTGTAGCACTTCACAGAAGTGTTGGAAAGCTCAGTAGAGGATCAGAATTATGAAACAGTGGTGATGAGGTTTAGTGGAGTTGATCTGTGGCATGGCTATATAACAAAATATGATTTAAACATTCTCTCAGTAATGTTAAACTTATAATTTTATTGTACTTTATGTACTATAAAGCCACTTTAATTATTTTAAGTATACACTCCAATGGCATTAAATATATTCAAATTTTTGCACAACCAAAACCATCCATTTCCAAAAGAATTTTTATCACTGCAAACTGAAACTCTATTCTCACTGAAAAACAATTCATTTTCCTTTTCCCTGCCTCCTTCTACAACCTTCACTCTTAGCAATCACCATTCTACTGTCTACAACTACTCTAGAAACCTTAATTGAATCATAAACATTTGTCCTTTTCTATCAGTATTATTTCACTTAGCTAGATCACTTTAATTAATACCCTGATAATTCAATAGCTGGATTCCAATTTGCATGACATTCTAAATGCTATATTTCAGAATAAATACCTAGCTTTATACTTGAGCCTTCCACTTAATGCTTAAGGGTACTTCACTAACAAATTACAAATTCAGTCCAGTGGCAGACAATTTAGTTTTCCGTGTCTCCTATAAAGGGCTTCTGTGTCTTTAGATTGTGAATTATTTTCATTGCGGTATTCATGGATTTTAGATCCTTTGCAAAATTCCACGGAGTCTCTTAACGACAGTATACACTAATAAATAGAACTCAAGCAGGAATCAAAGTTACTGGACCATCCAGGAGAAGGAAAGTTAATTTGAGATGCTGATATGGCAGCTTTCTCTTTTGATACAAGGTAACTTCTCTGACATATAGGTTAATCCGCTCTACACTAAGAAAATTAAAAGCCTAACAAAACTCTTTTAATTGGGGAAAAATTTGAAAGTCTCAGAGGGTTGGAAATTGAAAGCTGTGCAAGTTACTTCACCTTCGTCTTGCAGCACCCATAGGTCATTAGGGCTCTGCCAACAAATGGTGTCTGGACTAGACACTAACCCTGCAGAGGTCTCAGTGGGCTAGCTCTGCTTAGCCTGTGTTTACAATCCCGTCCACATCACAGCACACAGAGACGGGGCACAGCCACCGCTTCGAGCAGCGTGGTAAACTGCGGAAGCGGCGCAGCGCAGAACGCCCAGCCGCCCACTAGAGGCTCTCCGTTTCCGTAGGTTAGTTCGGGACGAAAGTCCGAGACGCTCGCATGGATCTTGAGCTGCAGCTCTAGCAGATTCTGAAGTCAGTCGTCTTTCGGTTCTCGTAATAAAGTCTGCCTTTAGTTACTAAAGAACGAAAGAAAGGAGCCGGGCTGTAAGGATCCCAAATACGTACGCCACCAACCATAACACTAGCCCAGTATGCCGCCCTCAAATGTACGTGTCTTCCCAGCAGGCTCCAGGAGTCACCGCGAGACTTTAAGTCTCGCGAGGTTTGTCGGCAGCCATCTTCTTGGGGGTGCTGGGAGCCGGGAGACCCCCTGAATCGTTCCCATTGAGCTGCCCTTCGTGTTCATTTTCTTCACTTTTGCTTCCTCTGCGTTGCCAACAAGCACCTAGATCTGAAGCTGAGAGAAATCTGGGGTCTAAACGTGTTTCGCGCTCCTGGTTCGGGAAGATTCGCTGGGGAGTCGGGAAGGGGGAGGGCCCAGGCTAACCGTTGCTGCCAGAGCCTGGGCCGGGGTCTGGGGAGGGGGAAGCTGCTGGCATCCCGTGGACTCGTGGCCTGCGGTGGACCCCGCGGAGCTTTTCGTGTGCCGGAGCCCGCGGGAACCTGCCACCGGTGCCTCCCACCGCGGCCCACGCGGGCGGCGCGCGGAGAGGGGGCGGGGGCAGCGGCGGCCGTAGCGGCCGCGACCTGGGCGGTCGGAGTGTGACGGGCCTCAGGGCCGCGGTGCATGGTGTCTAAAATGATCATTGAAAACTTCGAGGCACTCAAGTCCTGGCTCAGCAAGACTCTCGAGCCCATGTGAGTATCTCAGGGATATCTCCTTGCAGGGATGGCTGTGGTGGAGCGGCGGACACACAGATGTGTGCAGTTTCCCCAAAGTGCTGCGGTGGAGGCCGGAGCGCTGAATGGAGGTTCCGGGGCTCTAGTTTCTCCTGGTCCTACTTGCTCGCGTCCAGGTTTTGGATAACCCAGAGAGCTTGAGCTGAGCTGTATTTTATCACAGAGCTATTTATCTCTGATCTGATCTTTGAGTTGTGTGCTCTGGTTTTCCCGTTATATATAGACCAACACAAACTCCCACCGTGCAACTATATTTTCCGAGGGCCTAAAAGTGAGGGTTTTTTTGTTTGTTTTAGTGAATTTGAACACAGGCCTTGTATATAGACTCTTACCTTGTTTCTTGAAGTGAATGGCCTTTATAACGATTAGGGCAGGATATTTAAATCTCATGTTCCACTTAAATACAAAAAGAAAGGCCGCGTCTTCCATGTGCCATCTGGCAGTCGCCTCTGCACCTCTCTTAACTGACTAAAGATGTAACAGGTGCCATAGTACCTAGTAAAATTCGCTTTTCCCACCTACACGCTGGTTCACTTTAAGAGGAGGAAGAAGATTCAGTCTTCGGGGCTGGGGATTTAGCTCAGCGGCATAAGCACCTGCCTTGCAAGCAGGCAGTCGTGAGTTCGATCCCTGGTACCGATAAAAAGGAAACCGACAAAAAAAAAAAAAAAAATTCAGTCTTCATCCATATGGAATTCTTATCCGCCTTAAGTGGGATGCTGAAGATCGACTGGGGATAGAAGGTGGAATTAGAGTTCTGAAATGTCTTAGATTGGAAAATGTAATGATTTACCTGCTAATATAAAATGCACCAAGTGCTTTATGAAATGATTGATGTACAGTAAACAACTTAAAATGCAACGGGAAAAACCACTTGTGATGTTTATTAAAAGGTCTTACTGTGTATTGTGTAGGAGGCATTGGGAATAGAGCTTTTAAATTCCAAGGTTGACAAGAAATAATCAACAAGTAAAATAAGACCATTTTGGAGATGCATATAGCTGTGACTGTTTAATAGAGGATCATATAAATTTTTAGAACAGGAACTAATTCACATCTGATGGTCAGGGAAGGCTTCTGAACAGATGACATTTTTGCAACACCTAAGGAGAAAGAACCATCTGTAAAAATAACGGAAAAGATGTTCTTTTCAGTATGAAGAGAAATGCAAAGGACCACCAGCAGGCATGATCCTAATGTATTCCTAGGAAGAGAAAGGAAGCCACTGTGGCTGCGAGAAGCATTGTGATGGATGGGGAACGAGAGTGCAAACACATGACGTAGTGGAAGTAGGCACGGGCTAGACCCTATAGGATCTTTTTATGTCATGGTCAGGAATTAGGATTTTATTTCAAATATAATGGGGAGATAATGATTTAAAGTAGTCAAGGGCTGAACTGATTTTAGCTGTGCCTGTTTTGTGAAGACTAAAGGGCCAAAATGAAATGAAGGAGACAACAGTTATTCTAAAGGGCATTTGTAGGCCGAGATGGCTAATTATCATTGCAATAATGGCAACAAAACCAAATATATTTCACATGTAATTCTGAAAGATAAGGAGATGAGGGAAAGAAATCAAGGATGATGGTTGCAAATTTAGTTTACACAACTAGATTGATGATGGTGGAGGTGGGCTAAGAGAGAACAAATGGAAGGGGGCAAGAGAAAGGTGGGAGATTTCGTAGGTAGAATGTGTAGGGAAGAGAAAACACCCGGGACTAAGGAGGAAAACTGGGCTATATGTTAATTAATAAAAGAACAAAAGTGTGACAAAGGAGAGTTAGCTTGGAGTTAGCTGTAGAATAGATAAAAAAGTTGGAGCACATAAGTAGTGGCTCTTAAATTTGCCAAGGTGGAGGTAGTTGGTAATCTTAGTAGTTTGACTCTATATAAGTTTTATTCAAGAGGACTGAAAGGTACAGCCTAGCAGAGGTGTGCTCAGCATGTGCAAGGCCATGGGTTCAATCCCATGCATCATCATACACAGGAAGTCCATTTTTTATGGATTTGGAACAACTGGGAAAATAGCATAAAGTTGATAGGAAAGACTCCAGAGCTTAAAGGTTAATGTGCCCTTGCCACTTAGCAGCTGTCATTATAACTTAGAACCTTTGTTTCCTCATCTGTAAAATGGGGAAAATAATGAATAAATATTAAGAAAATATTGAAACAGCCTGATGTGTAATTAGCACTTGATAAGACTTAAACAGAAAGCTTTGGAAAATGTGTTGGGTTGAGATAGCTTTTTTAACCATTTGGTTTTAGATTAAAAAAATCAGTTTCAAATCAGTTTTACTGCCACTTCCGCTTTTCACTAACCTAAAACACTATTTATAGCTACCTAATGTGAATGTTTCTAATTTTTCTTTAGCTTAAAAAGACATTCTATGTAGCATTCAGCCTATTCAGATTGGTATAGCACTGCAGTAAATAAATGAGGCATTGCTAGTAGAATTGTAGATGATAGTTAGAATTTTGATTGGTTGTTTTCTAATGTGTGTTGCTGTTTTGTTGAACCCCTTAGCAAGGCAAGGGGGTGCACGCCTGTAATTCCAGTACACTTGGAGGCTAAAAATCTCAAGTTCAGCTCAGCTTGGACAATTTAGTGAGACTTTGTCTCAAAATAAAAAATGGGTCAGGATGAGGCTCAGTCTAAAAGCCCTGGGTTCAGTTTCCAGTACTGCAAAAAACAAAAACACAAACAGAAGTCTTGTGTTCCTGACTCCTCAGTTGCATTGCATCTCAGGTGTATTTTTTTAGTTAATGGCTTAAAAAAAAAAAAAAAAAAAAAAAAAAACCTGATCCCAATTATTAAGATCAGTGGTTTCAAGACTTGGTTTGTTATCTAAAAGGATTTATTTTTCTTTAAATACTTCAGCCCTGTTATTGACAAACTGTTATCTGTTCAGAGGAGGAACATATGGAGGATCAAGGATAAGATAAAATTTAAAATTTATATAGAACTGTTAGCTACTAATGTTAGTAACACATCTCATGGTTTTGGACTTAACTGAATTGTGACTACTTTACCTACAAATGTGCTAGTTAGTGTGCTAGATATTGAGAAAGTAGTAGAAAACAAGATGTGAAAGTACTGTCTTAACACCATTAACTATTTGGAAGGGAAAATGATGTGAACAAGTAATTACAAGACTGTTGTGAAGTCCAGAATGTCAAAATACATGTGTGGGAAAGTCAGGAAAGGTTTTTCTGGTGTGGTAATATTTAACCTCAGTTTGGAAGGATGAATAGTAGTTTGCTGGGGCAAGGGATGGGAATGGAGATCTGTGAAATTGTTAAAGATTTGTGAGTTTGGGAGAACAGATTGTTTGAAGGCCCTAAAAATAAGAGATAAAGGTGTTTTAGAGTAATTGAAAGAAATTGTAAAAAGATCAAAGGAAAAACAGCAGCGGATAACTCCAAAGAGGAACCAGATCACACAGAACTTTGTTGAGTCATGTTGAGAATTTGCGATGGTATTGAAGGAGAGAATGGACCTAGTTTTAGGAGAGGTGAGTTTTCAGTTTATAGGGAAGTTAAGTGGGAAAGCCTTGTTGCAGTTTTCAGCATGAAATAAAAGTCTGTCAATTTGTATTTTACTTGATTGTAAGTTCTGTAATTGTATCAGTGTCTTGAGTTTTCTTTTTCATAAATTATTGAAAATGTAGGTATTAGTATTGTCATCTTAAAATAGTTGATATCTTTATAAGTATTTGCTTAGTCATACTTGCTAATAATAATAAATTACATGTTTTTTTCTGTAACATTCACCTTTCTTTGGATAATTTTATAATCTTGAAAACAAGCTCTTGTAGGTCTTTTTTTCTTTGAATGAAAAATACTCTCCTACACTGTATTTAAAAACATCTTTGTAGGTTTGCACATCACAAACATGGTCATTTAATAGGAATTTTTTTTACCTGAAGGGACACCTTAAGAGATAATTAGTCTTTAATTTTTCAGAAAATAAAATTGAGCTAATGGTAGGATTTAATTAATGATGTGCCCATACTGTATTTGAAGTTTTAACTGTGAAGTGTAGAATGCCTAGTTTTTTTTTAATTCTGAAACTATGTAGTGCTGTGCAGGTACATAGTATCTTGTAGTGAAAACAAGCTTTTCTACCACCTAGCTCAAGGTCACTTTTCTTTGTTAGGATGTCAAGAGTTTTACATGTTTCTGCCTACAGTTGAAAGGATTGACTGCTGTGTGTGTTTAAAAGCCTACCTCATCACTTTCCTTAAATTCTGGTTGATTAAAAATAGACAGGTCATATTACTGTTGCTAGTGTTACTATAGTTATCTGAACTACTGCTACCACTACCACTTAACATTTACATGCATTGTTGTTAAATGTTTTGAATTACTTCTAAGTTTTATTGTTAGATAAGCATTGCTGTGTCAAGGACACACTGAAGCATGAGGTTAAGATTTGTCTGTGATTTAAGTGCAAACTTTTCGACTTTAGAAACCCCATATGTTCTTAATTTACTACTAAAAGATAATGTTTTCTATTTCTGTATATGTTTTTGCTATTACATTTCATCACTTTGTTAAGAAGGAACAAAGTTGGGTTTTTTTTTTTTTTTTTTTTTTGGTTTTTGGAGAGAGTATCCTGCTCTTGTGGTTCAGGCTACTCTTGAACTCACTATATGGCCCATGCCAGCCTCTTAACTCATAGCCATCTTACTGCAGTCTCCTGAGCACTAGGGTTTAGAATAAAGTTTTGAAGTGTCATTTATTGATAGTTTAGACTTTATGAAAACTTGGAAGTTTTTGTAATAGTTTCTCCTTAACCCACACTTGTTGCTAACAAGTCACCTTTCTTACCACATTAAAATGTATATTTGTTACTGACTCGCAGGAAGAGTTCTTCAGTGTTTGCAGAATGATCTTTTTACATCCGAAGTTTTCACTTGTTTTGATTTTCCCTATCTTTGATCTCCTGAGAAATTTCC